AAATGGCTGGAAGAATCTAGAAATGAATTTTCTATTCCTTGCAGTCTCAGTACTAATACTAAACAGCTCATGAGTCAATGGCAGTCTGTGTGGTGTGCTTTATGATGATCAAAAGATGTCCAGGAGTCAGGAGAACTTAAGTAGGAGATATGGTTTTAGCCTCCTGTGTTTCTGCTGTGTAACAGTATTCTGGTGGGTCCCACATTTTTTCTGCTCTTTCTCTCTCAATATCTCTAAATTTAGGTTGGGAGAAAAGGCTAATTTATGTCAAGCTCTCCAGTTTCAGATGCTATTCCTCATAACTTTCCCCAAAGGTTTGAAAGGTAGGCCCATAACCTCAGGGGCTTGCAGTCTAGTGAAAGGTTGAGTTGCTGGATGTACAGAATAATGAAATTATATGACTCATTCTATATACAATTCAATCTCAATATTTTATAATGGGATGTGTGTTTAGAGATGTTTTCTAAAGGAGGGGAAAACTAGCTACAGGCTAGACAATGACACAATCCCTGAACAATCACCAAGCCAAGCTTCTGCTCTGATAAGGCAAAGAAATACCAGTGATTTGGAAAGACTGTCTGGGAAAAAAATTCACCTTGGAATGTTAATAAGAAAATCTCAATATTTGGAATGAATTCTTAAACTATGCACATTTTCTTTTCTTGAAAAAATGAGAAATTAGATCCAAAGAAACAAATAACTGTTTCTGTTGGAAAAGTATGTGGATTTTTCTGAGCTGTGATGTTGTAAGTTTAAGGTGATTATAATATAAGCAGTTAACAGTTAGGTCTTTCTATAGTGAACTCTGAAAATTAATGACATGTTAGCATCTAGAGTTCTGGGAAAAGCTCTAAGGGAAGAATTATTTGGAATATTCAGAGAACATTACGGTGGCAACTGCTTCTACCATTTCAGGAAAACTGACTCGCTCTTATTCGCTCCTTGGCTGGGACCAATACAGGAATTGCCAAGGTTAGAGTCTAACTTTCCCTTAAAACTACTGCCTATGGAAAATGTTATTTCAGTCAGTAGAGTTAAAAAAATCTCTGTTTTCATTTTTTGCAAGTCCAGACTCTATTTTCCCTTTCATTTATGGCAAGTTTGGGCATGTTTGGAATAAAATAAAGGAGCAAACCTAATCTCAAAGGCATCCTGCTGAGCAGTACATCCTAGGGACAAATTACGCAAAAAAGGAACAAAAGAGAAAAACAAATTGTTTCACAAAATAAACTACATCAAAAAACACTCTTCAAAGAGTTTGTGTTTTTTTGTCCACAAAAATTAGCTAGTTAGATTGTTGTCTGCAAATCCACAAGTTCCAGTGAGTCATGTTCCTTACTATTAAAAAACCATGAAATCCATTAAAAAATTATTTCAATCTAGCCAGACGTGGAACAACTAACATCTCTCCTAAAGTTCTGACTTTCTATTTTATAGTCAAGCTCTTCTACCCAACTCTCTAGACTTCACCTCTAATCCTATCCCCAGCCAAGAAAGAAGGACCAGAAAACGACACGTTTGGGCTTGCAAGAGGGAGAGGGCAGCTTTTGCAAATCAACTTGTTAGCACGAAGTGGGGGAGCACGAAGTGGGGCGTCTGGAGATGGAGGGGGGAAACACTTTCTACATATACGCTCGCCGGTCAGTAGTGGGCGAGTGCGCCAAATTCAAAATGATACCACCGTCCCTCCGCAAGAAGAGAGATGGGAGGCATCACCCATCCCTCTCCGTATCCCCGTAGCCGCCACGGGTTTCTCCCCTGCCCTGTGCCGCGGGAGGCGGCGGGGGGACCAGACCCCCGCGCGCAAGCCGCGGCCGCGGTGTCGGGTCTGTGGGCTCCGGGTTTTCCCGCCGCGCGCGCCGCGATGGGCGGGGTCGGCGAGGGCCGCGCTCATGCCCACCTTGCTCGCAGGTGCCCTTGCTGACCTGGGTGACGGGCTTCTCGCCGCGGCTCTCGGCCCGCAGGCTGGCGGCGCGCAGCTGGCAGCCGCTGGGGTAGGTGTTCCCGTCGCTGCCGCACACCGGGTAGCGGCTCTTGCACACGCACACGCCGCTCACCCCCGGGCCGCCGGCTGCTGCCCCGGCTTTACCCTTCCGCCTCTTGCGGCTCTTCACGCACTCCATGCCCGGCGCGCAGTGCCCTCTGCCGGCGCCGCCGCCCCCGCACGGCTCGCCCTCGCCGCGGGCCCCCCAGTTCTATGTCAAGTCGAGCCTGCAGATCAAGAAGAACGCCATCATCGACGACTACAAGGTCACCACCCAGGTCCTGGGACTGGGCATCAACGGGAAAGTTTTGCAGATCTTCAACAAGAAGACCCAGGAGAAATTCGCCCTAAAAGTAGGTTTGGGGTCCACGGGAGGGGCAGGCGGGCCGAGGGGAGCTCCCGCGGACACCCCGGCACCCCGCGGTGGCCCGAGCGCGCGGGTCGCCTGGCGTGGTCGCGTCGGCCCTTCCCTCCACCCGGGGCCGCGTCGCCGCGGGGCTGCGGGTCGTAGGCACCCGCGGGTGCCCAGTGTGTCGCGGGGGCGGGGGGCGGGAAGGTCAGGACCGAGCGGACCACGCCGCCGGCACGGAGTTTCCGGTCACCTCCGGTGTGAGTGGCCGGGACTCGGGAGGACTCAGAGGACTCTGCCATTTTGGGGTTTGAGCGGGATCCAGGCGAATCGGAACGGTTGGCTCCGGGACACCTTTGCTGTTTCACTGTCTCAAGGAAGTGATTTTCAGGGGTTATGGTTCCCCACCTCTTGTCCTTTTTTTTTTTTTTTTTCCCCAGTGGGCACAAAAGGCCCATTACTCATTGAACTGGTTGGTCTGTTGGTTTGGAGAAGTGGGATCTCAGAGGTTTTTATTTAGCCTCGCTCCTTATTTGGGAGCCGGAATGTGT